ATAGCAAGGCCTTGAAGTCAAGTCTCCCAGCGGAAGAAACAGGGAAATCTTCTTGGCCCTGTGGCTTCTAAATCAGTCTGAGTAAACAAGCAAAGGGAAGCCTCCCCTGGGCCCAGGCGGAGCTTTGCCAACAAATCAAAGGTCAACAAAGCCATAAATCAACTGCGTTTGCACCAAACACATCAGGAAGAGTTATTTTGAAAATGACTTGGCCTAAAAAATTCCCTGGAGCTGAATCAACTCAAAGAGCACAACCAGAGAGCAGGAAAATTTGGTCTGTCCATCTTTCTCCTCCTCTCCCAGGAGAGGTGGCTGTGAGGTCCTAGAGCTCAAGCCTCCTTGGAGAGGTCTGACCCTTTCATTTGCAACAACATAATCCCAAATGTTAGGGGCCCACAGACAGTGGCACCACTAGGGTTGGTATCAGTCAGTGGGGTAACTCATGGTGCCACCCTCCCCCATGGGCCTCCTCCCATACCAGACGATACAGAATCCTTAGCAATGTTTTTTGTACTAATGTTACTCGTAAGTCGTAATTCTTATACATCACTGCTTCTTTTCCTTTAATTACTACTTCATTCTCAAAAAAGTTATTGACATAGGTTCACAAATATTAATTACCACAATGTTATAACTAAAACACCAGAAAATTTGACAAAATCGGCAACTATAAAAACACAACAGCAGCCATGAAAACAACAGCGCATGCTTGTAGTGCATGCAGATGAAACCACGTGATTCAAAACATCATTGTAATTGGGTAATAATGACAGCTCTGATCAGAGTGCAATGTTGTTATTAGGTGCCTTCTGGGTGGTTCTGACTCATAGCGATCCTATGTACAACGGAGCGAAATGCTGCCTGGTCCTGCGCCATCCTCACAATTGTTGCTATGTTTGAACACATTTTTGCAGCCACTGTGTCAATCCATCTTGTTGAGGGTCTTCCTCTTTTTCACAGACCCTCTACTTTACCAAGCATGATGTCCTTCTCCAGGGACTGGTCCCTCCTGATAACATGTCCAAAGTATATTAGCATAGGGTTTTAGCCTTGTAGGTATACTGATAACATGCAAGCTGGGCTTATGAGAAATGTTTTTGTTGTTATAACTAACTACAGGGATATTTTTAGGCAGTCATTTTGGTGTTACCCCCTCTGACAGTGTTATCCAGTGCAGTCTGCACCCCCCACATCCCCTTAATGACACCACTGCCCAGGGAGTCCCAAGGCTGAGTGGTCTTTTGGGAAGAGCTACTGCAGCAGGCAGGCCTGGAGCTCATGGGAGGGGCCTCCCAGGCTGCTCAGCCTTCCCAGGAACCAGGGCTTTATACTCATCTGGACTGCGAACACAGGTTCAGGCTGAGACTAGCCAGGTGCCACCCAGGGACCTGTCCCAAGCAGATTCTTCCAATGAAACACACACACGTGTGGAAAGAGATCTGGAAAGATCAGCACTTCAGTGTTACCAAATGTCAAGGGTTGGTTTTTCCCTCTGCTTACCTGAATCTTTTATAATGAGTGTGTGTTTTATTTTTGGATAAATGTCCCCATCACCCCCATCTGGGGTCTTCCCCATTCCTTAATGCCCCTCCACCACACCCCTGTAGTCTTCTTCCCCCTCATAGGCGGGCCTTTCTCCAAGAGGCAGGCAGGGTCTATGGCCTCTGGCCTCGTCCAGGCTGTACCTGTTGCAGCTGTTGGCTGGCTCCTTGCTCCTGTCTGAGTTCTATGTAAAATCAAGAGAGCCAGGATCCTTTTGTGTGTGTGTGTGTGCATTAGGTGAAAATGTACACAGCGAGCTAGTTTCCCATTCAATAGTTTGTACAAAAGTAGTTCATGGCCTTGGTTTCATTCCCCACAATGTGTCAGTACTCTCCCCATTTCCACCCTGGGTTCCCTGTTTCCTTTCTCTTGATTTTCTACCCCTTCCTGCCTTGTCATCTTTGCTTTTATGTAGATAATGCCTTTTTGATCTCCTATAATTAACTGTTCTAAGGAGTAAGCTCCTCTTGGGTGTTATTGTTTATCTTATGTACTTGCCTGTTGTTTGGCTGGGAGATGGTCTCCGGGAATGATTTTAGTTCCATGTCAGAAGGGTGTCTTCCACAGTCTCAGGGGTTCCTCCAGTCTCTGTCAGACCAGGAAGTCTGATATTTTTCATGAATTTGATTTTTTGTTCTCCAGTTTTCTCCTGTTCTGTCCAGACCCTCTGTTGTGATTCCAGTCAGAGTGGTTTTGTGACATCGGTTGCAATCCCCACAATGTGACAGCACATTCCCCCTTTCCATCCCAGGTTCCCTATGTCCATTCAGTCAGTTCCTGTCCTTTCCTGCCTTCTCATCCTGCTTTTGGACAGGGGCTGCCCATTTGGTCTCGTATATCTGATTGAACTAAGAAGCACATTCCTCACGTGTATTTTTTTTGTTTTATACTCCTGTCTAATCTTTGTCTGAAGAGTGGGCTTCAGGAATGGTTTCCGTTCTGGGTTAATAGAGCATCTGGGGGCCATGAGTTTTGGGGGGTTCCTCCAGTTTCTGTCAGACCAGTAAGTCTGGTCTTTTTTGTGAATTTGACTTTTTGTTCTGCAGTTTTTCTCCCTCTGTCCAGGACCCTCTGCTGTGATCCCAGTCAGAGCAGTCAGTAGTGGTAGCCAGGCACCATCTAGTTCTTCTGGTCTCAGAGTTGTATAGGCTGCTGTTCATGTGGTCCATTAGTCCTTTGGACTAATTGATCCCTTGGGTCTTTGGTTTTCTTAATTCTCCTGTGCTTCGGGTGCTTAAGAGACCAATAGTTGTATCTTAGATGGTCACTCGCAAGCTTTTAAGACCCCAGGCGCTACTCACCACCAGGATCCATTTTATCTGGAACAATGCCAAGATGGATGGCTCCCCTTACTTCAACTGCCCCTGCTGAGCCCCCACATACTGCAATTCTACCTCAAACCACCTTCCAGGCAGAGGCCTCTGGGAAGGCCTCACCAGAGGCAAACACAGCCCAGCCCAGGGTTCCTCGGATTTGCATACTCAAGGACTCTGCTGCAGGTTTAAGCAAGAAGTTGGCTTTGATGGAACTGCTTCAAGGTTCTGTGATAAGGATGTAGAAAGCCTAGGAAACAGGCTAGCAGCTTTTGTCTCTGGGAACAACCTGCTGGACACCCTTGGGCATCATTGCCTCTCCTTGAAAAGGAAGATTCTAAACCAGTTGCCATCAAGTTGATTCTGACTCATAGCTACCCCATGTGTGTCAGAG